TTGCCCCACAGTCACTGGTTTTAAGAACTTGGCTCCAAAACTACTTCCTACCATTTTTGATCCTTGTTCATCTTGCAGTGCCTCTTTGGGCAGACCCCTTAAGACCCTCATACAGAACCTCAAACACATGGACTACAAGCAGTTAGGCTTAGACTTCAGATTCCCAGGCCTTCCATGGGTATGTTAGGGCCAAGGCACATACATTTTAAACACATTTTCCTGAGGATTCTAAAATACACAAACACCGTACTGTGAAACTGAGAAACACTGTCACAAAAATGAACACATTAGAACCAAAAAGACTTTCACATTAAGTACTATAATTTGCCTTCAGACATGATCCAGTTCTACCATAATTACCTTCTGAATTCCCTACTGTTGAGGATTTTTTTTTATTAAATAGCAAAAAATTTTACTCTTATCTTCCTAATTGTAGTTACCATTTTCTTAAGGAAATACTGCATATATACTCTTCCTTTGTAATATATTTCATTAAGTATTTCTGAAGGCAGGTAAACACTTGAACTCTGTATTTTGCAACTGTGCCTAGGTCCCATGCTCATTAAAGTGATACCAACATCTTAGGGTCTTTTTTTTTTTTTTTTTTTAATTCACAGCAGGTTGGCAGTCATCCAATTACAGCATGATTTCGTACTGCAGCTCAGCTCACTTGAAGCAGTTCATCTCAATCCTAATCATTATGTTCAAAGGCTCATTCCATCTAGATGCCAAGTTTCCTCAACAGGACAAAAGCATACCAGAAATATTTCTGTTTGGCAAGGCCTGGTAAATTTTTGGAGGCATTGTCATGCCATGGCGGGTTACTAGTCAGGTTATAATTTACTTTAATTCTTCCTCGCACCAACAGCAACAATGATTACCCCCAGGTCACTGGCACTCAAAGAATTTCTTCCCAGCCACAGAAAACAACAAAATCCTTTTTGCAAACACCTTACTTGGAATTAGACTGCAAAGAATCCCAAGTCCTGACTATGGGGTTTATTGATCCAGTACATGTTTCTTAATGGGGCAAATCACACAATCCATCCATGTATCATCTGTGTGTGCACGTTAGAAATATGGCAATAACTTAAAGAAATTACTGGTCTCCCATAAAGCAATCAGCAGTGTTCCATACGCATAATTTGTTCCACCTGCCATGTTTACAAGGCACCCCAAGGAGAATTAGCTTAAAACCCAGAAATCCATCTGCCTCCCAGTTGTAAGGGGTCATTATTGCCTCAACTAGGGCAAGGGAAATGCATAGCATGCAGCTAATCATGTCAGGTGCCTGATACATGTACTGACACATTGCCCAGGTCATCGGCTCTTCTAATAGTGGCTGGAGTCACCATATGATGACAAACACAATCTGCTACCAACAAAACATGGTGGGGAGGGATGGAGCCTAGATTCAATGGGCCACACCCAGAGCACAAACCCTGTATGTGGTCATGGGAATCTCAAAAACAAGACACGGGAAAACAGTGATTTTATGCCAAAACACTGGTGGTTAAAAACCAAACCAAACCAAGAAATGCCTAATCAGGAAAAAAAAAAAAAAAAGAGGGGATAGGAGCAAAGATGTTCTGTTTTTATTAAATAACTAATTATTATTAACTGCACTTCCCTATGTATTCATTTTTTAAAAAATAAAGCATCAATTAACATTTACTAAGAATATACAATGTTTTACTTGTCATGCACAGAAAATAGAACCTGGCCTCCAATAAAATTTAGGCTTAACTATTTCCAACTAAGGCCATAGTAACTAAGACTTAATACAGACTGTATGGAATAGGGTGTTTAATGACAGAATGATGTCCAAGACACACATACGCTGATGAAATGCACTAAACACATGCCTATCTTCAAGGCAATTCTGCCTCCAAGAAGCTATTACAAGAAGAGCTCTTTGGGGACACACCCTCAAAGGAATTGCAAAAGGTTGCCCACCACTCCTTCCCTCTCAAATGAGACAGACATGACATACAAATTAGCATACAGAATATCAAGTCATGAAGTGCTCCTTGTCAAGGCTTCCACGGTGGAAAGCAGGATTGGGGGACGGAAAGGGAGAGAGATACACATGGATGGGCCACTCTGAAAATGGTTCTCAGACTTTGAAATTTCACAGATCTGCAAAATTAAAGAAAAAACACAGGGCAGGGATGGAGGAAACATCGACATGGAGTTGTCATTTATTTTGCTGAAGTACAACTACCATCTACTACCATGGATGATACACACACACACACACACACATATATATATATTTTAGTAATACAAATGATGGGAAACACAATCTCTCAAAATAAAAGGTAATCCTTTAAATTGAGTAAATTTAACTTTATGTAAACTCACTACATTATCCTTCTTTTAAAAAAGGAATACCTTAGGACATGATGCTTTTCACAATTTAATGCCTTTGATTCAGATCTGAGGAGACTTTAGACTGTAGTTCTGCAAAGGTGATTTTCAAACTAAGATTTTATACATGTATATATGTGTGTGTGTATACACATATACACACACACATATAGAACTGTGTTTGAGTAACATCTTCCTCCACAATTTCACTACCAGTTGGTAAGAATCCAACCTATGCAAATCCCCTTTGCTGTCAGTCAGTGTGATGGTTCATAATAAAGACAATACAGAATGATCTCTGTCAGATTATAAAGTTACGATGGTAACAGACACTTCCAAATTATATTACTTCTATTCTAGCACAGGATGGCATTTTCAATGTTACTGTGTTCCTTGTTCTCTGACTGAACTGCCATGATAAAGCAATGAACACACATTCTGGCTTCAGTGTTAAAGTGGCTGGATTAAGACCAGCTATTCCCCCTGCTGGTTGGACATGTTTTACAGCCTCGACTTCATTAATGCTCCCCATAGTACCAAACCCATTTATTTCCCATCTACCAACTGACCTCCTAAGGCATCATTAACATGCCCCCGAAGGCCTTACTCCTGTCAATTTTAGTCAGCACAGCCCTCTGAGCCTCTGTGGGGTTTATCAGAGCTCTGTAGAAAAGGAAAAGCAAGGAAAAGAAGGGAACAGGTCCCAAATGTTGGCAAATTGCCAACACAGGAATATGCGAGAGAGAGAGAGAGAGAGAGAGAGAGAAGCTGGAGGTGGAGGGAATCCTATCTGGTGAGAGGATGCAAAGCTAAAGATTGAAAGGTAGGTTATACAGACCCATAATTATAAGCTTCTGCCACTCAATTCTCAGCTAGTTAATGGCAGGAGGATCAATATCTACTTTCGATTTTCATGTACAGCATTATGGCCTCAGTGGGAGACAGGCCTCCTGGGAAGGAGGGACGATGCAAGAAATGAGTCTTGGAGAGAATGAGTCATGAACAAAAGTAATAACTGTATTGGTTTTTCTTTATGTTTTCTAAAATAAATTTTGTATCTCTTTTGTTTAGACCAATTTTTCCTTTTTTGTGATAACACTACTCACTCTGAAGCCAGTCATAGAGAAATCAATTTATGTGAAGGGAATATGAGGAATAAATGTGGAACTGAGTTAGGTAAACAAAGCTGTGTCAGTCTGAAATGGTATCCTCAGGGTTCATCTACACCCAACCAGAGTGAGCCCTGAGCTCCAGAATGGAGTTAAAGTAAACAGCACTACATTCTGCAAACACAACTCTAGGTTCTAGGAATAGTAACTGTTCCAGTTTGTCATTTTTCCTTTTCTTCCTTTCTGGCAAAGGATTAAGCAAACCATCAGTGGCTTTCCCTTTTAAATTAGATTTATATAATTCAAATGGCAAGAAGAAAGTCTTAAAATATGTTTTGATATATTTTTTTTCCAGAATCAAACAGAGAACTGGATAATTTATAGAGAAAAAAAGAAAGGAGCAAAGTATATCTAATACATAGCTTATGCATGAAATGGAACGATTTTGTGAATGTAATGAATCCAAAGCTACACTTAGAACATCCATGAAAAATGTAGTTAGTAGCACTAAACATGAGATGTTACAATCTGTTAAATTAGGGCATCAATAACAGCATCTTGATTCATAAGTCCCTTCTCATAAATGTTTCAAATTGTAAACTCCCTAAATAAGTTCTAAAAAAAAAATCCACTAGGAAACATTCTTCACTAATCATAAAACTCATTCCTTTATATTTTACCCAATTTCCTAAGACTTCTTTCAAAGAATACAAGTCCTTCTAAGTCATGTGCTTCAATGAGTCTGACAGGTTCTAGGAAGCGATAATGGTGGCACCTTAAGAACTCTGAAGAGAGGTGTGCCCTTCCCAAATATGCTCACAATCTTCAGGAAACTTCCTTCATCAGGTGCCAAATATGACAAACATAGTTCATCACACTAGGAATCATCATTTCTTAAGGGCCTCTATAAACCACACACTATGCCAGGACATTGAGACACACGATCCCATCTAATCCTACAGCAACTCTACAAGGCAGACATTATCATCCCATTTTAAGGATGTAAGCATTGAGGCTTAAGGAGGTTAAGCAACTTGCCCAAGGTCACACAGCTTCAAGTGGTGAAAGGACCAGGCAAATTACAAAGCCTGTGCTCTTTCCCTCTGACCTACAAGGCCAGGCCAGCCCTGGGACTTGGGTTATAGCGCTCTTTGATCTTGAACTCATTAAGTAGTAGTTGCTTTATCTTTGGGGATTCCATAATCAGAAGTACACGGGCTTATAAAAGTTGTTAAAAAAATGCAATTTAATACATTTTCCAGGTTTAACAAAGAAGCACATTTTTCAAAAAGTCATAGAAAGTTAGATTTCAAACTCTAAATCTTAAACTAGAATACATAAAAACAGGTATGGAAGTCTGTTAGGTTGAACCACGTAAATTTTTTTTTTTTTTTTTTAAGGTCAAAATGCCCAACAAGGTGACAAGTTACACGAGTCATCCTAATAGCGGTCCACGTCCATTCACAAGGCAGCGGCGTTGCACATGCTTCGCGCCACGCCTGGCCTCCCGAGACACCGTACCTGAGCAGAAGCTGTTGCTGCTAATGGCCCCTGCTGAGCGCCCGGAGCTGCTGGCGTTGAACTCTCTGCTGTCTTCCTCAGAGAAGGGAGACTCTGAGGCCGGGGACACTTTGTGCTGCTGCTGCTGAGGCAGATAGGGCCGAAGAATCAAACGAGGGATCCGGCTTCGGGAAACCTCCTTCTCACCATGCTGCGCTCTCTGCTCCTTCTCAAAAGTGGACATAAAAAAGGGAACAAAAGGAAGACTGTTGCCCCCTCTGCACTCCTGTCTGCTCCTTCAGGGCTCAGTTCCTGAGGAATTTTATTTCTGAATATTAGATCTTCACAAAGAGTCTGAGTAGTCCTTTATCTTCGGATTGAAGTAAGCTCCAAGATTCTTCAGATGAGCTCACACACACACACACACACACACACACACAATTCCACTTCCAAGAATTAACAGGAAGGCCACCTTACTCTCCCCTGCAATTCCTGACTCATCTTCCCAACACTGGATTTTTTCTACTACACTGAAGCTTTCGGTTCTGTCGAAGCCTATTCATTACTCACAGAACACTCCTGCTTTTACTTGATTTCTTCTTTACTTCCATTTTGCTTTTCCTGAAATAGTTGTGACAATTCAATTTCTCCTTTCCTGTCTCCTCACAAAGTCAACCCCCATATCTGGAACAATTCTTTCCTGATAGATCACGTAGCCTTATCTTTTAAATCCCTCCCTTTCCAGCCAGGATCTCAATTATTCATTAATATCGTGGTACACAAGGCTTGTTGCCAACAGAAAAGCTAACAAAAATCCAATACCCTGTAAAATGGCTCCACCTTTTTATATTATCCTTAGCTTTTGTTTTCCTTACAAAACACCCATGAGATGAGATTTTTCTCTTGTTCTCTCTTTTAAAAACAGAGCATCCAATACACAGGGCCATGCCTTGGTCAAAAAACAAAATACAGGTATAAGAAAGTAACATGCTGGCAACATTGTCACTTCTAAAAGTGCTTTCCCAACCATCACCTCACTTGATCTATACACCGCGGATTATAACAGGGAGACAGCACTCATATGTTTCCCTGTTCACGGGTGAAGAAATTGAGGCTATGAGAAGTGAGGATGTTCAGCTAAGTGTGCACATCATCTAGAAGCAGCGCTTTTCAGGGTTGACACCATCCTGCCTCACTAAAATGGATTGCTAGTTGCAGCTCCTTGCAAAAAAAATCCACTGCTCCCTCCAACCTCTGCAACTGAAAAAGGGTTTGGGATTAGGTAATAAACACCATTTTGCAACATGACCTCCGCTCATGTCCACGCAGCTTACCAGGTAGGGTCACTGCCAAAGCAAACACTTCTGGGAGGCCCAGACAGTGCAGGAATTGAAGGGAAAGGCGAGCCGCAGGAACTCCTGAGGTCGCCCGAGCACACACCCTATCCAGGGGCGGCCAGCCGCACCCAGCGTCTGGACTCGTGCCGGACATCAGTCACCCAGCGGGCATCACATGTCAGCCAGTCCGCGCGGCCAAGTGCAGACCCTGAACCAATGCTGGTCACTGACACGCCGGAGTCCTTATTTCTCACTCAAAATCCATCAAATTCCTTTTATTCACATCACACGCGGTACATCAACTCAGAGCTGGATTCCAAATTCCCAAATGTCAGGAGATGAGATTAACCTTCCAAACTCAATCTGTTTAATTCGGTGCCAAACTCCAAAATTCTGTTCTCCGGTACCACCTCCCCACCTCCCAGGTGTCACCTAACGTCCTACGGACCCCGGCACCTCTCCACCCGCCTTCACCTCGCTCTGCACACCACACTCCAGCTCTCTCTCACCTGGCCCACTTCTTGCCCTTAGCGCGCGCCCTTCCTTCCCCGCCGCCTGCTAGCACTCCCACCCGCGCCCGCACTATCTGCCCCACTTACCTTGGTCTCTCGGAGGGGCCCCATCGCTCCGCTGCCCGCCGCGTCCTCGCGCCGCCGCTGCCGCCGTCCTGGAGGAGGCACCTGCGTGCACTGGAGCGAGG